CGCTGTCGATGCACATGTAAGCAGCTCCACCTGGGCTGTAACGCACTGGATGTGCCATCCAACCAAGTAGGGCAACTTCTGAGTCTTCTGCGTGAAAGGTTTCGCCGATCACGAGCATCGACCACGTGTCAGGATGACCCAGCTCATCTGCTCTTTGAGGTGGAAGTCTTCTCATCGATGGTTGGGAAGAGCCATCAGTATAAATAAGAATTCTGTCGTACTGGTCAAGGTCAGATGTCTTGGTGATTGGTCGAATAGGTAATGTTTGCAAATGGCAACGAACTTCAGGAGGAAGTTCAACAGCATCAAAGTCAGTGCAAAGAACACCGTCTGCAGACTGAAAAAGTGCATGTAGATCTTCACTTTGAAACGAAGTTCTCAAAACGCATTGTGATTGAGACCCTGCTGACACATCAAACGTGAAGAAACGCTTTGATGTGCGTGCTGCATGTCCCCTCGTTGGCCAAGGTGTTCTCACCTTCTTTTGTTGCATGGGGCATGTCAGACTCGGCTCACGGTGATGGAATTCCACTTTGATCCATTCATCATTGATGGGCACCGTGTCGAGAATGACTGCTCTGGAGTAGCCAATTGCACAAAGGAACTGCATCATTTCAATTTCTGTGAGCACATGGTTCGCACTGTGACAAATGATACCGCTAGTGTCCTGCGCATCATCATGACAGAAGACATAGTGGAACTTGATGTCACCATCTGCGTCAGCTTTCTTGGCGCTGTCAATACAAAGAAAGATACCATGCGGCACACATTCAATGACCTCACAATAGTGGCCCCAATGCTTCAATTCTGTTTGGATTTGCAAGGCTGTACCAGGCGCATCAACTTCCAGCGGTGTCGGTAGGAGGCGTGTGCCGTCTGGACCTAGAAGTCGTACTGCCACAGTTACTGGAATGAGCTCATCCAGACAAAGGGTTGTCTTGGATGCATGAGTCTGCAAAAACATTCCTTCGTCATCATCATGCCATGGATCATGTGCAGGATCGTGAACTTGAATGGGATTGATGATGACCATAAATTCAAAGCCATGTCGGTTCGGTATGGCCAGTGGCTCTCTGAGCTGATGATCGCCATGCCAAACCATGCATTGGACGGCCGAGTGGGGTTGCGTGCATCTGTCTTGCGCTTCACATTGCTGAACTGTCGACTGCCATGATTGCAGCACTGGTCCAAATTTGGCAAACTGATCGGGTCTCATGGTTGCACCAGAGGCATCAATGACTGTGTACAAATTGGAGACCGTGTTGTCTGGTGATTGTTGTGTCAGAATCACATGCGGCCTGACTGTAGGTCTCGTAATTGTGACTCTTGGCATGGGTCTCACAGTATGAAGGTGAATCCACTGGTCACGATCTATGACGTCCAGCCACTCATCAATTATCTGTTGAGTCCACATTTCGAAGTTGTTGCCAAGTTGAACAGACCTTGAAGCTCTACAATCAACATGTTCAGGCGCTGACAGATACCATGTTTCTACAGTAATGACTGTCGTGGGGCCTCCTTGTTGTGTTTGGGCCAAATGCATCCACAGCATGAAGAGCTCTTGGATGGCCACTGGTTGACCTTGCAGGGGATTCGCAACATGGCCAATTGGTCGTACAAATTGTGGCGGAGCAGATCTTCGATACCCAGGCTCATCTTCAAGTCTGTCATTGGGCCGATCATCTGGTTCTTTTGGCATGTGTTCAAAGCCAGCAGGTAATGTGATGCTGCCGGTGTGTTCCCAAGCATCCATAGAACATACTGGGCTTGTGTGGAGGAACCATGGCCTGCTTTCTCTTGATCTTGTTGGAATTCCGGTTTGAAGCATGGAGAATTCATCAATGTCGAGAGGCAAAGGCACAAGAGGATGACCAATGATGCTATCATACCAGCCTAAAGTGTAGAGTGCATGCCGGTCACAAAGCTCTTGATTGGTAACTCCTTGGTGACATGCGCTTGCCACACACCTGGTGGCGATGTGATGGACAGATTCGTCACCCGGAGGGACAGCAATTCTGATGTAGTGTCCATGTTGGAGTCCAAAAGGGCATGCTGACGTGTGAGAACAAATATTGCCATTGTGCCACACGATACAATCTCTGTGGTTGGCTCTGCAGAAGTCCCCAAGGCCAATACGGTTGAGGACAGCCAGTCTACCAATCTGCTTGGGCAGTCTGACTACTCTGCGCACGACTTCAGGTTGAATGTCCGGAAGAGCCGAGTGGAACTCCACATCCATCAGTATCAGCTGGAGAGGTGAACCTGGTGGTAGATCTTGATGTCGATGCCCAAGCAGTGCCTCAACACCAGCGTCAAGTAGGTCCTGAGGAGGAGTACTGACATGGTGGAGCGCAAAAAGCTGATGAGTTGTGACACCAAGTGCACTTGCTGCTTCGGTGTGGATTGTTTCGTAATCGTTCCAGTTGACTCTCATAGGTCTCGGCTGAAAGTCCAAGGCAAATAACATTGAAGCCTGCCAATCCATTTCTGCCTCTTCCGCATGTGAGCCACTATCAGATTCCACTTCATCGGGCGGTTCTACCTGTTGCGGTTGGTCATGTGGTTCTCTCGCAATCGTGTTGTCGTCAATGATGTGTTCATCATGTCTTGGAAGACGTCGTGGTGATCGATCACGATATGTGTTCCCTGTGGCCATGAAAGAATTTTCATCAGTCAAAGGGTGCTCAAGTGGCTGGAAAATTCTTGCTGCAAGAACTGATTTCATGGTGGTGTGCGTCAACCTTTGCATCACAAACTCCTGCTCTGATCCCACATAGAGCTCTGCAATGGGGCTGAACGTCACTTGGAGGGAACTTCGTCGTGATCTTGATCTATTCCGGATTGCGACAGGCAAAGTGCCCACTGTGCCGCAATGTTGTGAAACTTCATAGGAGAGGTCGAGGGCTGAGATGCTCGCCTTCCATTCTGTCAAAAATGTTGGCTCTTCCAAAATGGAGTGAACCCATTGTGAAACTGGATATGCAGGCTGGCTACAGCTTTCACTGCCATGCCCTGGGCAAACCTCTGTCTTGCAGACTATTTGCCGGGCTGGTGAAAAGGCTTGAGTGCTGATGCACCAAACAAGGAACGCTCTGGCGCTTCGTCCTGATGCCCAAGTTTGGCCTTCTTGCTGGCTTGTCCTGCTTCTGTTGCTTCTTCTGATGGGCGGATGCGCACTGCTTCGAGTGAGCAGACCATGTTGGTGATGCCCTGTTGAATTTCCTCCGCAGTGGCAATTCTGTCCGCCGATTCTTCCTCCATGCCGTCTGAGACCTCCTCCACTTCGAGCTGTGCTGCATCCTGTTTGTCCATTGCATCTCTCGCCTTCTCGTACTTCTCTCTCGCTTCCTGCATAGCGTCTTTTGCTTCCAAGACTTTCTTCTCTAAAGCCTGGTCTTTCTCTGCGAAGTCTGATGCAAATGTTTTCCATCGCTTGACGGATTCTTCGATGTAGCCAGCCCAAGATGAATGAAGGTTGCTGCGCGCAGTTTGTGCTTGCTGTAACTGCTTGCGCTTCTTCTCCAACTTGTCCCAGGACTGCCGCACTGATTTCGTTGATGGCGGCGGTTCGTAGGGCTTCTTGGTCTTGTCGATCACTGTCTGGACATCTTCTGTCAAGGAGTTGCCTGTATTCTCCAGTGCTTGCACCAATTCTTTCAAGAGGGCACTCTCTGGAGTCTCCACCGGTGTCGACGTAGACGGCTGAGGCAAAGATGTTGTACTTGCCGATTGCCATGGAGGATCTAATGTTGGAGCACCATAGCTCTCTTTGGCTGCTGACGTTTTCTTGGGCGTGCGCCCTCTGGTTCTCCTTCTTGGAGATGCTGTTGACTTGGTGGCAGTGGCGCCAGCTCTTCTGCGCGGCGATTCGCCCCAATTCTCCCAAGCAGCCTCTTGTTGCTTTCTGGATCTTGTTCTTGTAGCGGCTTCTGTCGCATTCTTCTGGCCATGAACGTAGTGGATGTCGATGCACGTCGTCCAGTTGCCATAGCAAGATCCACATTGAGGAGCATGATGCTTGTTGAGTCTTTTGCACCATACACATTTCCATGGTTGCCTGGACATGTTCGCCATGGTTGTTGCCAACCTGCGAAGAAGACCTGGATCCTTGGAGTGATGTGATGCCAGTTGCAAATAGATCGACTGGAACTGCTTTGATGTCAAAGTACACAGTCCTTTGCGATGTAAATGCCACCTGAAGCGAGCAACTGCTCGCTGTCGGCGTAACCTTCTCCGCTTGGATGGTGTAATTCTGCAAAAAGAAAAATACCAGCAAAGTGAAGAAGGAGAGGAACATGTAGATGCAATACAATTGGAGGATGCCAAAGACGAACTAAAGGACAAAGTCAACTTCAGTGATGTCAATGGAAACACAGGCAATGATTGCAAACAGGTTAGCCAAACCGGGGTTTGTACGTGGCCCGGACCACAGCAACTGCCAGGTGTTGCTGACTGGCTAGGTCAGCAGAGCACAAATTGCAAGAGCGAAAGGAAGCCTCCAGGGCACCGCCAGTTCAGAGGTCCAATACGCAGATGAAGGCAACGCAGTGCAAATTGCCCGAGGGCGTTGGGACGACGACCCTCTAAGGTTGAAGGAACGAGTACGTGGGGCACCCTTGACTGCGATCCAAAACCCTTGTATATATAATAAATATATATAATATATATAATATGATATATATATATTATATATAATATATATATAATATGATATATATATATAATATGATATATATATAATATATATATATAATATGATATATATATAATATGATATATATATAATATATATATAATATATATATAATATGATATATATATAATATGATATATATATATAATAATATAATATAATATATATATATATATTGATGGATGGTCATCAATGTCATCACTTTATTAATGAATTGGGATCAAGCAAAAACATGATGTTTGGATTCGCATTGTGGGATAACCATAGCCGATTCATCCCATGTTTTGACATCACAAACTGTGCCAAGGCCAGTGGGACATTCCCCACCGCGCAGATTCTTTGGGCACGCTACACGGTGCAGATGTTGGTCACTTCATTGATGCTCTGGAAAAAACGCCCCAACCTGAACCTGCCGAGAGGTCTCAAGATCCTTCTGCCACTTGGTTTGAATTTTAGAAAGTCCTTTTCGAATCCTTAGCTATCAAACTGTATGATAAATATGTATGATGTTTCTTGCCTTGCTGCTTAGCTTCATGGCCTGTCAAGCAAACCAAATGGTCTATCCACTTTCTCAGCACGAATCATCTTGCCGTTCGAAATGCCAGGAGTGAAGCGTCTGAGGTAGAGATAGTTTTTTTTTTTTTGCCTCGAGAATTCCCAAAGCCCAGCCGCAGTTTGCTATCCTTGGAGGTTATTGCGCGGTTTGCTGGGCATGTCGTCACAAGGTTGGGGTATGTATGAGTTTCATTCCATTGTTGGACTTTGAACAATGCGTGATTTGATAAGCAGTGGTTGTAGTTGTAATGTCTAAAACGATTTGCCAGGAAGTGTCATCAAGATGTAAAGATGCAGATATAGCTGATTGCACAAGCAGCCACAAATTTTACAGGCTGCCACATGCTGTCACTCAAAATGCTGCCCTTACCTGATGCGGTGTCCTTACACACAGCATCTTGGATGGTTTGCCTTGTGCAGGACATGCCTCAACATGGACAGAATGGACATGAAGAGATGTTGAATTTTGTAGGAGTCAGTGACTTTGCTGAAGCTTGTTGCATCCTCAGCCCTTGAGGTATACCCAGTTTTCACTGCTTTGCTGGCACCTTTCACCTTGGGGGAGCCACTTTCAGCTGCGGCTGTTTGTGCTGCACTGTGCGCAACAGTGGGCTGCAGCTTCATTGCCCAGGGCCGCTTGAGTCGGGCGCCGCCCAAAGGGCAGCAGGTCTAAACTGGGTCAGTCGGAGGTGATGGATTTTTCATATATGCAATTATGAATTATGCAATGTATGCAGCAAATCCGAAAGTCGTTGCAGAGCCAGTCTGAGTCGAGTTTTGTGGACATGTCTTTGGGGACTTGCTGAGTATCCTGCTTTTGATGCTTTTGGACATCTGGATCCATGACTAGTTTCAGGTGCGACTGGGCATGGGCATTGCTTTGCTTGGCGCGTTGAATGCCAGCAACTTTGCTGCAAAATGACCAGACCCAACAATGAGAGATGTTTTTGAAGCGAAGTTTTTTTTTTTCAAATGGAACCTTGAGGTCTGTTTTCTGTAAACACTGCAGAGATGGTCTTTGAGCGTCTGTGAGCAACGGACCAAGGCTTAACATATTTGCTGGTTCGCAAGTTGATGCGAAAATCGGAGAGGGCCATTGATCCTGAGGTAGTCGTTTGGAGCCTTGTCTCCGTCCAGCAAGAGAAATTGATGCTTATCCTATGATATTCCCACATTAAATCCCATCTTTTCTGTGAGGATCATTTTGAAGTTCCCACTTTGTGATATCCCCATGGCTGATTGACACTGCTGAGGAGCTACTCTCTGACCGCTCTTTGCGTCCTGATCCTGGCACTGCCACTGACAGCGGCACCTCAGCCATGCTTAACATAGCCATGGAAGCTATGGCCCATTTAGTTCGATGATTGATGTATTCAAGTTATCTAACCTTAGCTATGATAAATTACTAGAGGGTACCTCTAAGGCCAGATTCTTCACGTATATTTTCTCGCCAACCCCTAAGCCTTAAAACCGTTTTCTCCTCATAGCCTGATAGCCGCAAATGTACTGGAGCATCATTCATGAAGTGAGACAACATCTTCCGAATCTCTGGTCACTCTGAGTCCTCCTTTGTTTGGGATGCTTCAGCATCTGCTTGGCTGGCCTTGATCTCGGTGGGTGCCACCAGCGTCATCGAGCAGCTGCTGGTGACCCTGGGCTTCCGAGGGCTGTCAGCAACAGCGGGAACATTGATGCTGACGCTCGAAGCTGCTTTTGCCTTCGTGTTCAGTGCCTTGATATTGAAGGAGCCAGCCGGTGTCGAATCTTCCATGATCTTCCATGTGAGTGGTGCCATACGATTTATCTGAAATCAAACAAGTTGATGTACTGTATCCACTCTGCAAATTCTTGTTTGAGATGTGCAGACAAGGGAATGGCCATGGTTCGCTTGTCCTAACAGAGAGAAAGGGGGCAAATACCGCCAAACAGAGGATGCTATATTATATGCAAGGCCGGTAGTTGTCTACCTCTGCAGCATTCCCTGGGCTTCTCCCTCGGCTGCACCTTCTTTCAGTTGTTTTGCAGGAGACGCCGCGGCTTCAGACATTGCTGGGAGCTGCTTGTCTGATACACTTGATGATCTTGATGTGGTTTTGACTCCACAAGGAGTGCCAATCAGATTTCCGGACTGCATTGATGGATGAACAAGCATTCTCGGGAGAAAGCGTTGTACTTGGCCTTGGCCGCCTTGATCGCATTGTTTTCAAGTCTGCCAATCTGCGACTATGTTTCCAAGACTGCCAGAGTGGCCGTCTAGTTGCTTTTAGAATATTCCTATTATTCCTTCACATGTCAGTTTGGTTTAGTTTGATGCAACGCCCAAAAAGGAATCTACAGAGGACATATCTTAAAAGCGACCCGTGACATGCTGAATTGATCTGGTCCCAATGGGGGCCACCGGTCCCATCTCCCAGGCTGCCTTGGTTGCTGCAGTTCCTTGGAAGATGTAGTGATCATCTCTTGATGGACATCTAATAGGTTGAACATGGTTGAACGAACAGAACATGTCTCCTGTTCTTTCTAGATTCACCATGATTCACCCGTTTCTAGCTCATGCCTTTGTGTTGGATTGTTTTGGTACCATACCACCTGCGGAGATGCATCAAGATGCTGCAGGTCCAGTTCGCAACATGAATTCTGACACTGCAGGCTGTTACAGTGAGTACGTTGCGGAAGCCTGGCTGTCATCCCAGGCGCCTGGAGAGACGGATGAGCTAAACACCGTAGCGCTTGAATTTGCTGAAGCCTCACGTCTTGGCGCAAGGTACGCTGCAGTGAAGAGTGACGTGGAGAAATCACCAGCTATCCAAAGTGAGAGCTTAGAACTGGAGAATTGTGATGAAAGGAACACTGGCCCGCCCTGCGTGAAAAATGGTGACCACTGACTCAGTGAAAAGTTGGCAGCGACCGAAGATGCGACCGAAGCAGCGACAGAAATTGCTGCGAGGTCGAGACTTTGCCACGTCCTCCTGGGTCTGAGATCCCAGGAATCCGAGATGCCAATTTCCTGCGATCTGGATTTCCTGAGGTCATCCCAGTGCAACTGTTTGATGGTCCCAAGAAGAAGGCAAGAGATGCAGATTGGGACCATCTTCTCTAGAAGGAAAAACATGGACTGCATGGATCTGCATGGATCTGCATGGCGGATTTTACATTTTCCATTTGAACCCCTGCTAAGAAGTGTGTTTGTCGGGGAGGTAACAGCTCCAACTCATTCCAACTCAAGATACCTCATGTTCTACGTTGACAGGCAGGAGATTCTGAGCAGGAGCTCTTGCTGCCTCCGTTTGTGGCCTATGACTTCGAGGACAGTGATTAGTGATTGCACGTGTGAGTTCCTGCCACGGCGATGTGAGTAAGGCACGAAACGCGTTTTGCTCGCTAACTCCAACCTGTCAGGAAGACTTCTCCATCGACCCTCACATGGATCTACCTGAGAAGTCGACACCCAAGATTCAACGTGGATCTTTTGAGTTGCAAGGTTTATTCCAAAAGCCTTCTTTCTCATCCAAGCCTTGTCTATTTGCGTCATTCCACATTCAAAGGCAGATGCGTCTCGTGAAAATGTGAGGCAAAGTCGCATGACTGAGCTGGAAGACCTTTGGAGCGTGCAACTGCCAGAGCTCCTTGACCTTCCTTGACTGTAGGTGTTTAATATTTTTGGATGTTGATTGAAGAATATGGAAGTATGATGGAGTATGGAAGTCTTGGGCTGATCGATTTGGAACCTTTGTTCATCAAGTGCAAGTTGTGACGGACTGTGGATGCAAAGCATGTCAAACACCGGTGATAAGAAGTACTGACATAGACATAGACATACTGCTTAGTGCCGAGTGACCCCAAGGAACCTCAAGCACTTTGTACCGTAGCCATTTTGGCTCAAGCAATTTCAATTCAAGGGAAAGATAGATGCCACCTGAACGCTGTGCCCACTGCAACTTCAAGTGGGAGGTGTCGGGTGGTGGGCTCTGTCCAGCCTGCAGGTCGATAGACAGACTTGCGGCCCTGATACGGGGTCCCAGTGTCCCACCTACCTGTGAGGCATTGGTGGTGGGTCGAGTGAGGTCTTGGATTGCAGACATCCAAGACCTGAGTGAGATCAGCCGGGGGGTAGTGCCAACCCCTTCTGGTGCTGGTCAACGGGAGGGAGCGGGTTTAGCTCCTAATACTAGAGGGCCAAGTCCAAGTGGTGCCCTCTTGACTACCTCCCCCAAAGTGCCGCCACCTGCACCTCCTTTGCCGCCTTTGCCGCCACCTGCATCGAGTCCCAGCGCCCCAGCCACAGAAGTGAAGACAGAAGAGAAGGCTACCTCATCAGCCAAGCCGCCCCGCACTCCCAGTCGAAGCCGCAAGAAGACAAAGTCGAAGCGGAGATCTCGCAGTGGAAGAAGCCGGCGCCGAGCACGTCTGGCCAGCCCTGTCCGTCCTGCTGGAGTGAAGGCAGAAGGCAGTACTTCACGGGAGCGGGAGAGCAGACGGGAGAGGAAAGCTAGGCCTATCTCTCCTAGATCTCCTTCCAGGCCTCCCCTACACCGAGAGGAGGAGCACCACCGGGCACCTTCTAGACGTCCTGAAGGAGCTCACTGGGAGGGGCCCATCTTAGCCCGACGGCCACAGCCACCCCCGGGACAAGGTGTACACTTTGGAAAGAACAAGGGAGTAAAAAAGGAGGAGCGAAAGGCAGAGTTCAGGAGGAGGCAGCGTGCTGGGCAAGGGAGGCGCTAGATGCCTCCTAAACTTCGGCGGCCGGCTGCTGCTGGGGTAAGGCGCCGTGGCATCAGAAGGCCAGCAGGGCTTGAGGACGAGGCACCTGCCGGTAGGGTGCTTAGAAGTGAGGAGTTGTCCCTAGAGCAATGCCGACAGCTGAAAGACCTCGAGGTGGTCAAGGGTACCTACTGGGAGACGCCCCTGGTAGCCGCCCTACATGTCAAAGAGGTGATGATACGAGAAGGCGACCTCTACTTGAAGGCCGTGGTGACAGGTACAAAGACCGAAGAGTTCCTGCGAGCGATGTCGAGCAGACCTGGGAGGGTGGTCGATGTCCACCTGTGTCGAGACTGTGGAGGAGTGCCCCATGCCGAGGGGCTAGTGCACCTGCAAGAGTTTCGTCTCCTAGGCGAGGTGAGGGAGGCTTGGATGAGCAATATGGTCCCTGCCGAACGCAGAGGCGTCGCAGGGGACGAGCTAGCCGATATGAGGGCCGACCAGGCCAGGATGCGGGTCGAGGCAGAACCCGGAGTAGGGGGAGGCGACGTTCCTCCTGCATCTCCCGAAGGGCATCAGAAGAAGGAGAAGAAGAGGAGCCGCAGCGGCAAGAAGAAGCGCAAGACCTGGAAAGTCAAGGTGCAGAAGTCCGTTCAAAGTCTCTTCGCTCAGACAGGTGTGGATCCAGACCCAGCCGTCAGGGAAAAGTTCAAGAGGAAGGCAGCGAAGTTGGCGCGCAAGAGGAGCAAGGAGTCCAGCAGTGGGAGCAGCAGCTCCTCATCCAGCACCAGCGCCCCGATGAGCGGCGACCCCAGCATCTTTGGTGCAACTGGGAAAGTCCAACTTATTGGGAAGAAGCTGCCGGGCACGCTAACCACAACTGCTCTCGAAGAGGCAGCGGAGAGTTTGATAACTCACGATGGAGGGGTGTGGGAGACCAGTGCAGCAGCACTGCCCCCCCTGTTTGTCAGGTACTACAGGAGCCAGCTAGCCTCCAAGATGGCACCGGCCATGAGCCGCGAGGTCTACACGCTCTGCCACTGCCTCGACCTGATGCTGAGAGGCCGTGCAGCGGAGGCTACAGATCTTTTAGCCCAGCGGGTAAAAGCACTGGAAATGCAGAGTGGCGGCGTCCACTTTACCGTCGCGCAGCAACAAGAGCTGTTGCCTCGGGAAGGGGTGTCAATGTCGACGACCCCAGAATTCCAGGAGGCGGCCCGCAGGGCCCGCGAAGAGGGCCGGGCTCGAGCCGAAGCAGCCAGGCCTTATGGCGTCAGAGCAGGAGGTCAAGGCAAAGCAGACGAGTGGCCCAAGGGGGCCGGCAAGAAAGGGGTGAACAAAGGCAAAGGAGCAAAGGGAGGATCGAAAAAAGGAGAAGGTCAGAAGGTCGAGGACAAAGCAGGGAAAGGGAGTTGACAAGGACTCCTGTCAAAGGAAGGCATGAGAGGCGCAGAGGTGAGAGGGAGTTCAGGATAACTCCTATGCAAGAGGAGCAGCGGCAAAGGGAAAGGTCAGTGAAAGGGAGGGGGGATCAGTTGGCACCTGGTTCCCCTAAGGAAGAGCAGGAGAGGCTGACCCATCTCAGGCCACAGATCGAGTTGAAGCGCCTGGGAGGGGATGGCTCTCCTGGTGAAGAGGTGAGTGCAGCGGAGTTTCACACCACTTTTGGCGGGGAGCCTCCTGGAAAGTTGCTTGGTGATCAGATCGGGGAGGCTCCTGGAATTGGTTGCATGACCAGCTCTGGTGCGATGTCATCAGTGCTTGTTTTTCACCGCACAGATGGGCCAGACTTTTCGGCCTTAGATTTTGCAGGTTTGAGTTTCTCCGAGGTGGGAGGACCACTGCATGATGCCCTCCAGCATGTGTTGAAAGTGTTCCACAGCAAGACCTTGCCCATGGTAAAGGGAAGTATCTTACCTTTACCGCTGGAAGGGTATTGTGGGGTCCCGCCACCGCAGCAGCCGTGGCTGAGAGCCATTCTGATGGGCCTGAACTCCCTCTATGGCGTTAGCGAGACCTGCGCTGGCGCCCCGAGTGATGCCCAAAAGGAGTTGGTAGTTGGGTTGGTGAGATTTCTGGATAGGATGTGGCATTGGACTGAACGTATTCCTCAGGATGGCTTCTCTCAGTTGTTTGATGTCAAAGGGGTCGACTATAGAGGGGAGGAAATCAAGCTGGCACGGGCATTCAACTGGACCTGCATTGCCAGTGCCCTCCCAAAGGAAGTGGGAACTCTTAATTTGGCTGATTTCTGTTCTGGGGGATGTCGTTACTATGTGGAGTCGTTTGAAGAGTTTCTGTTGCCCATGGATCAGCAGGTAATTGGACGAGCTCCCAGGGTCTTAGTGCATGAAGATGACTGGTTGGAAGTTTGTTCAGGGTTGATTGATTCTGGCATTTGTGGGATGGCCCCACTCAGTTCTCTTTTTCACCTTCATGGCCAACCTTTGCTGAACGGACTATTTGCCGTTTCGAAGAATGAGTTTGACGCTAATGGAGTGGAGCAGCATAGACTTATCATGAACATGGTGCCTGTGAACCGGCTTTGTCGGTCATTACGGGGAGACGTAGGTACTCTCCCCACCATTGCTGGGTTTAGTGCCTTTTATCTGGAGGATTCAGAGGTTGCAGTGATGTCCAGTGAGGACATTAAATGCTTTTACTACCTGTTCAAGATTCCGAAAGATTGGCAACGGTTCATGGGATTTGCACGACCTGTTCCACCTCAGTTGGTCCCCCCTCATCTTAGGCATGAGCCTTGTCACCTGGGCCCAAGTTCTACCCATGGGGTTTATCAACAGTGTTGGACTGGCCCAGCATATCCACCGCAACGTTATCAGGTGGACCCTGGACAAAGCTACGCCGGGAGAAGGCGGCGAGCGAGAGCTACGGCGAGACAGGCCGGCGCCTGTTCATGCCGACATGTTCAGAGTGTATCTCGATAACTGGGATCAGATTCGTAAAGTAGATAAGGCTTTGGTTTCGGAGGTTGAAGGTACCCCGTCCGTTGAACAGCTTGCTTTACGGCACCAGTATAGTGAATTGGAGTTACCTCGGCACCCACGGAAGTCAGTTGAAAGCTCCTGCAAAACTGAAGTTCAGGGAGCTCTCCTAGATGGGAGGTCAGGGGTGGCGTTTGCTAAGCCTGAGAAAGTGTTGAAGTATCTTGGCTTAGGATGGGAGCTGGTGAAAAGAGATCGGGCCTCAATGCGGGAACTGCAAGTTGTCGCGGGGGGCTTTGTATACATCACTATGTTCCGGCGGCCCCTGCTTTGTTGTCTCAATGAGATTTGGTCCCATATCGAAAGCCTGAAAGGCTATCCACCTGTGGTCAGGGTGGAGCTACCTGTTGGGGTGCGACGGGAAATCCTTAGATTCATGGCGTTGGTACCCCTAGCTCAGATGGATTTTAGGTTACCTATGACACAGCAAGTGACTGCTAGCGATGCTTCCTCCTCAGGGGGAGGGATTTGCTGTTCCACGGGGCTCACTGCATATGGACTAGCGGCTGAAGGTGCGCTTGTCCGTGGTGAGTTGCCGGAGCCCATGGATGTGGTGGAGGTACTGACCATTGGACTCTTTGACGGCATTGGAGCGTTGAGAGTCGCTGCTGACCTGTTGCACTTGCCTGTAGCTGGCCACATCAGCGTGGAGTGTGATCGCTATGCCAATCGTGTCTTAGAGGCTGGGTTTCCAGGAGCCACCTTTGTTGATCGGGTTCAGGATGTTACTGCTGAGTTGGTTCAGCAGTGGGCTTGTGAGTACTCCTCAGTGGGAGTTGTTCTCATTGGTGCTGGCCCTCCCTGCCAGGACGTTAGTAAACTCAATGTGGATCGCAAAGGGTCTCAGAGGGGACGGAGGAGCTCTCTGTACAAAGAAATACCCAGGGTCAAGCAGTTGGTAGAAGCTCGGTTCCCTTGGGCGCAAGTGCACATCTTTGTGGAAAGTGTGGCGTCCATGGACAAAGAGGACCGCTCAGCTATGTCTATGGATCTTGGACTCCTCCCTCAACGGGTGGACTCTGTTGGAATTTCTCTGGCACGGCGGCCGCGCTTGTACTGGATGACGTGGGAACTGGTGGCAGAAGCTGGCCTAGGTCTCACTGACTTTGTGGGCACAGAGTGGGAGAGACTACGAGAGGTTCTCCTAACAGGGGAGATTGATCAGAAAGAATTTTTGGAACCAGGGTGGATGGTACCCGCTGGACAGCGGCTGGCCACCTTTACCACCTCGCGCCCGTCCAGTGTCCCAGGACGACGGCCTGCAGGACTCTACACGTGTGATGACGCTACACTGGCTCGATGGCGGTCGGATCAACATCGGTATCCGCCATATCAATATAAGCCTGAATTCTGTGTGCACCATGGCTTCAAGGAATGCCGGGTAGCAAGCATCCAGGAAAGGGAGGTCATACTTGGGTTTCCTGTTGACTACACTGCTCAGTGTGTTGTTAAACAATATCGGCGCACGGATTGGGCGTCAGACATTCGCAAGAGCCTCCTAGGGAATTCATGGTCCGTCCCGGTCGTGGTCTGTTTACTTAAGCAGTTGTTTGAGCGCCTGGGGATTGTCCGTTTTGCCACCATCCAGCAACTTCTGGACCGGCTTGCCCCTGGTGGGGGAGCTCATCTGCAGACGGTGCTACGACGTCCTCCATTGGCGCGGGCCTCTCCTCAGGTGTACAGGGAGACTACGCTGGCCCGGCGGCTGTCTGGGCTGGTGTCCATCAAAGGGGAGGACTTGTTGCTGCAAGCCTCCTCAGAGCAGCTAATGCGAACTCAGCGCCTTCGAGCCAGCATCCCCAGCAAGCTGTGGAAGTGGAAGACGGTCACAGGGTGGGCCTGGCAAGGCACACCTGAACATATAAATGTACTTGAAATGCGTGCCGTGTTGACCACGGTGAAATATTGGATTGTCAAACGAAAAATGTCTCATTGCAAAATCATTCACCTGACTGATAGCTTGGTGGTCTTACATGCGTTGAGTAGAGGGCGTAGCTCCAGCCGCAAGCTTCGCCGCACCATCATGCGCATCAGTGCCCTGCTGCTTACTGCCAACCTGCACCCAGTATGGACTTATGTGCATACTGGGCAAAACCCAGCTGACCGCCCTAGTCGGCGGGTCTTGCGGCGCAAATGGCAAAAAGTAAAAAGCATTTAGAAGGCAGGAATAAGCAGCAGCGGAAACAGGTGAGAAAGCAATTAGGAACTTTGAAAAGTTTGACGATCCAACCTCGCACTCGAGTACGTTATGACAAGGCAAAAAAGCGGTTTTATGACTTCCTGGATCACAACTCTTTACGACTGCCTCGGGAGCTGGCCTCCTTAGACGCGTTGTTGTGTGATTACCTTGAGTATTTATGGGCTTCAGGGGAGGGACGAGCATTGGCTTCAGACACGTTGGCATCCTTACAGGATACTAGTCCCAAGATTCGAGGGTCAATCCCTGCTGCTTGGCGTCTTTTAAAAACATGGCATGTCAACGAAATTCCTTGTCGTGCCCCTCCTCTACCTGAAAAGGTTCTTCAAGCTCTTGTGGGATACTTTTTGTTTCACGACAACCCGGGCATGGCGCTGTCTTTGTTGTTAGGCTTTTATGCTATGCTCCGTACGGGCGAACTTTTGGGCATTCGTAATTGTGATGTTACTGTGGACGACAAAGGGCATTCTGCAGTGGTATCGTTAGGTTTCACCAAGGGAGGCAAACGTACAGGTGCAGCAGAGTCCGCCACTGTTTCAGTTTTGGAAGTTGTACGCCGTTTACGGCAGTGGAAAAGTCATACAGCTAGTAGCGCTAAGCTTACTCCCCCTCCTCATAAATGGAGGACTTTGTTTTCACAAGCTTTGGTTTCTATGGGTCTCGAAGAATGGGAGTTTCGACCGTACTCCCTCCGACGGGGAGGTGCAACCTTTTGGTTTGGGAAGCATGGGTCCCTGGACCGTATCCTCCTACAAGGGAGGTGGCTGGCTGCTAAAACAGCTCGGACTTATCTCAATGAAGGTCTAGCCGTTCTCACAGATATGAAAATTCCACCTAAGAGACTGGCTCCGTTTCACACCGTTTTTGTAAATGCACAGCGTACTGCTTTACCTCGATGGAGTTGAAATGCTTGAGCGTTCTCAGAGAGAAGTACTGGGGGACGTGGAGGGTGTTCCCTGTTCTTTTGTTTGATTTGCCAAATAGGGTTGAAATGCCCTTGTTTTCTTGAAATGAAAAGAAGTTCTCTGAAGGAATCAAGAAGTTCTCTGAAGGAATCAAGAAATTGATTACCTGAGCCCACTGGCCTCGGTCTGGCGAGTAAGGTGGGGGGTAAGGGTAACAGTCTTTCACTCCTCGGTCTGGCGGGGAGTGCAAACTGTTGAGACCCTGTTGTTTTATCTTTTTGAATTCAAACGATGCTAGAATGTTTTTTGTTTTGACAAATCTCGTCTTGCTGTGCGCAGAAAAATGGAATCATGTTAGTCTTTAGACATAGACATACTGCTTAGTGCCGAGTGACCCCAAGGAACCTCAAGCACTTTGTACTGGGACTTCTACCTCATTTGAATCATTCGCAGGCAAGCTGAAGTCTTGGACGGGTTTGCTTATTATTCTGGCGCACAAGTTGGACTCGGGATAAGAAAGTTGAAGCTTGAGTCATGTTGGTCTCTCCTTGTACGACATGTTGAGGAAATGTCCTGATACTGCAACAACTTGAGATTCTGGATTCTGTTGCAGCGTGGAGGTTTCAGCCCCATCTGGCGGCTATCAAGTGACCCAACCTCAGACTGGCAGATCACGACTGCGAGAGGAAGTGAACAACCATGTGTGCGTGTTGCCCATCTTTGATAGCTTGCTTTGGCTACACTGGTGAGGTCTTTGCGGTTCCTGCGAAGTTTTGAACCCATCCAGCCTGTTGCAGAGATGCTCAAGGACCCCAAAATCGCGTCCGGTTCTTCGCAACAAATCCTCCTGCAACTTGCTGTTCCACACCTTTCCAAAATGACCCCGCTCGTTAGCTTTGACAGTCGGATGGCCCCAGGATCCAAAGCAGTTCCTGTATCTCTGGAAGGAGTGCCAGACAGCGGATCCTGCGGGATACAAAATGGGCGGCTCTGAATCGCTGTGAATGACTGGACCTTGATGTGCATGAACTTTTAGAACTACAAGCTACACACCAACAGAATCCAACAGATTCAATTGATGGCAATAACTGGGTGCTGAACAAGCAATCTGTATTACTGTATCATGAGTGCGTTTTTCTCCTCCTTTCCAACTTTCTCACAGTTTCTTTCCGACAGTGGGATGTTCCACGTCCTTGGTATCCTGGATTGCTCTCAGGTCTTATCGAAAGCCTTCAAGCAGGTCGGCTACAAAATATCTATTCATTGGGCCATCAAATCACTCTCACCTTTTCATGTCCACAGCCGAAGCACCCCAAGCAGGCCTTTGTTGTAGTATGAGATCTTGACTTCCAGACAGGTCTGGTGAGCCGTCGTATTGTAGGTTTCTTGACTTTGAGACCACTCAAAAAGGAATCGGTTACACGACTCAGAAACAAAACCTTCTAACTACATCATTGGACTGCTTTCGCATGGAAGGTTACTAAGGTTACAGCGATTTATTTTGGTGAGACATTCTTTGAATATCTTTGAATGAGGTGGAGCATGACTTCTATGACACTTTGCTCCGACAAGCAGAGCCTCTTGGACCTGACTTACAGCAAAGAGCTACAGGTTCTATACTCTATACTATGTTTTTTTCCATATGGCAGTGAAGGCTGACCAGCAGCACTTTTTCTGAAGCCAAGCACATCCAACAAAAACTTGGCCAGGTTGCAGCGCAAGAGGGAAGCTTCAAAGTACGCAGCGATGGCTTGGGATAGACATGACGTTTGCATCTCCAAAGAGCTAGCAGACATGCTTTCCATTTCAGGGGTTGGTAACTGTCCCATTTTGGGAATATTGGACATCACCTTATAGTAGCCATTATAGACCATATACCTAATGGTTGGGTGATGTTCAATGGGGACATTTAATGACCCATGCATTTGCTCAGAAGACATAAGTTCCTTTGTTTTCGCTGCGTTGACCTCATCTTGCAGACCAAAGATGTGGTATACAATTTGTACATGATCATGATTGAGGAGAAGTGCAGTCTTCCATTCCAGTTTTGTCTGGCATGGCAGCGGCAGGTGCCATCATTGTGCGTTGAAGCACCGTCATTTTGATCAGCTCCTTGAAAGAAGAAACCTTGAAGCAGACATCGAGGAGATGATTGTGCGTTGGTTGTAGCCCTGCTGGTACTGTAGCCCTGCAAATTCAAGGTGGCGCATGCATCGCTGCAAAGCCAAGCAATGACCGCTGTATACCCCCAAATATCATCATTTATCATCATGAATCACCAGTAATCATCCATTTGTTGGTATAAATGAATCACCATTTATCATCATGAATCCCCCCTTAATTCCTCCATTTTTGTTGGGTTTTCCCCAGGACTTGGACCACGAGTTGGGCTGCGAGTCCTTGGGTTTGTTGCCCCAGCTCCGAGCCAAAGAGGAGGCTTCGTTGCAGAAACGCGGCGACGGTGAGGATGGGGAACTCCCCAATGGATAGACCAGTGAAATCCTACTCAAATAGTGAAGAATGGAACATTTCTATCTTTTTTGGGGGGTTATTATAGTTTGTAATCAAGAACTATTGATTATTCATCATTTTTTAGACCAATACTTGGATACTATGGATTAACATGTGGATAATTGGCAGCAATTATTACTTTTTCTTCCTACAATACCATCACACATTATTGGATATCAACGTGCTTTAACTGCTGATACATTTAGATACTGTCAATAAAATGGGGCTAACGCCCTGGTGCCGCCGACCCCCTTTCAAGGGGAGAGGAAGGAATGCGCATATTATATATATATACCCTAGTAGTTCAACCCCCTTATTTAATAAGGTTTTTCCTAAAACCCACATATCGCAGAAACCCACGGTTGTAGGTCATAAGATGTTATAAGCACATCCCATTCACGCACCATTCACGCATGGCACCAGTTGCCCCCAACTTTTCCGGTGCCAAGCAAGACATATACTTGTCATCAGCCATCGTCAATGATCATCAGCGGAAACCGCGTTTCAAAAGCCTTGGGTTCAGCAGAAATCAATGGTTAACATGTTAAGTTCTTGTTCGTGCACTGAAATAGCACATGCATCCAAGAAACTCATTCATTTTGTGTTTCATGGCCACCAACCTGGCCGACAGGAATCGAATCAATGTGAATACCCAACTATAGTTCCCACACCCTGTGTCAGAAAACATTGCGCACCTTAACCGCTGGCATTTTAGGATCCATAGTGATCTTCGCTTAGGTCGAGCATACTTTGCACATCCTTGGGTCACTTGGATTATGATTCTGCTCCACCCTTTGAAAAGTCACGCAATCAAACCAAAGAAACAGTGTGCAAGAAACTCAGTAGATTATGAGGCTGACAAAGCTGAACTAGCTAGCGACACGACGCGACTATATTTGACCAGAATCCTTTAGCCCATTTCATTGCATCCTCATCCGCAAAGCAATGCACAAAGCGTGGATTCTTCCTTGGGGTTCCGAACCACAGGTCAAGATAGGTTTGAATGGACCAGCATTGGTTGAACAGCATGTTGTTGTTACCAATTTAAGCAATTGGCTATCACATATCAAATCCAAGTTCCAGTTTGCGGGGTCCCCTATATCACTTTGATAATTATCTTTGGGTCACCAGCATCAAAATAAGCCCCAGATGTTTGCACAGCCAACGCACAAATCCAAGACGCTTTGTGACCCGAAGGTCTTTCAGCACATGAAGATAAGCCTTAGATTTTCCCAGGGGAGATGCATAGACATGATTTATGGGGCCAGGGATAGGTGTAAACAACCTTTAAAAAACAAAACCCACACACCACAAACTTGAAGGACATAAAAAGGAACTATATACCCTAATTGGCCATTGATCTGGCCTTGGGGTGCCTGTTGCCTGCGGGGTTGTGCGTGCCAAGAAGATTTTTAAGCGTTGTAAGGGTTTTAAGGGTTTAAGGCCTGGCAAGCGGCAGGCTTGAACGCCCATAGGAAGCCATCGATGTGGCCTTGGGGTAGCTTGTGCCTGCGGGGTTGGGCGTAGCAAGAGGATTTTTAAGCGTTTTAAGCGTTGACAGGCCTCGCAAACGGCAGGCTTGAACGCCCATAAGAAGCCATTGATGTGGCCTTGGGGTAGCTTGTGCCTGCGGGGTTGGGCGTGCCAAGAGGATTTTGCAGCGTTGTAATGGTTTTAAGTGTTTAAGGCCTGGCAAACGGCAGGCTTGAACGCCCATAAGAAGCCATTGATGTGGCCTTGGGGTAGCTTGTGCCTCCGGGGTTGGGCGGAGCAAGAGGATTTTGCAGCGTTGTAAGGGTTTTAAGCGTTTAAGGCCTGGCAAACGGCAGGCTTGAACGCCCACAAGAAGCCATTGATGTGGCCTTGGGGTAGCTTGTGCTTGCGGGGTTGGGCGTGCCAAGAGGATTTTGAAGCGTTTTAAGCGTTGAAAGGCTTGCAAACGGCAGGCTTGAACGCCCATGAGAAGCCATTGATCTGGCCTTGGGGTGCCTGTTGCCTGCGGGGTTGGGCGTGCCAAGAAGATTTTGCAGCGTTGTAAGGGTTTTAAGCGTTTAAGGCCTGGCAAACGGCAGGCTTGAACGCCCATAAGAAGCCGAAGATTTTTAAGCGTTTTAAGCGTTGAAAGGCTGGCTAGCGGCAAGCTTGAACACCCATAAGAAGCCATTGATTTGGCCTTGGGGTGCCTGTTGCCTGCAGGGTAGGGCATGCCAAGAAGGGTAGGGCGTGCCAAGAGGATTTTTAAGTGTTTTAAGCGTTGAAAGGCTGGCTAACGGCAAGCTTGAACATCCATAAGAAAAAATGGAGCTGGCCTTGGGGTGCCTGTTGTCTGCGGGGTTGGGCATGCCAAGAAGATTTTTTAGCGTTGTAAGCGTTTGAAGGGTTTAAGGGGTGCCTGTTGCCTGCGGGGTGGGGCGTGCCAAGAAGATTTTTAACCGTTATGGCCTGGCAAACGGCAGGCTTGAACGCCCATAAGAAGCCATTGATGTGGCCTTGGGGTAGCTTGTGCCTGCGGGGTTGGGCGTGCCAAGAGGATTTTGAAGCGTTTTAAGCGTTGAAAGGCTCGCAAACGTCAGGCTTGAACCCCCATGAGAAGCCATTGATCTGGCCTTGGGGTGCCTGTTGCCTGCGGGGTTGTGCGTGCCAAGAAGATTTTTAAGCGTTGTAAGCCGACAAAAGCAGGTTCCACACCTCCGGTGGTCCCAGGTGCCGCCCCTGCCTTGGCGAAGGCAGGGGTCGGCGGATTACCCAGTCATAGCAATTTCTATGGATAGGTGTGGATCAACACCTATCAGATTTTGTGGGGTGAACATCCAAATTTGTGATCTGATAACATGTGATGGTGGTAGGATATTTTTTGATCTGCGGACACCAGAGGTCACACTGAAAAAGCTCAGAGTTTTGCCTGGTGTGCGGGGAGACACCACATGTTCTTGCAAGCAGTGCCAAGCCAAACGTAGATCTTCACAGTGCCTGAGGTGTGTACATCGGAAGCCGAACTTGGGTCAGTCTTATATGGACGATGCTGCCAAATCCAGCTGACACTGCTTTTTTTGGCAGGTGTTGAAAGACCTTGAATGCTTGGACGATGAAGGGCTCATCTCTCTAAAAGGACCCATGCTGAGATCTGCCGGCTCTTTCCCAGAACAGTCACAGTAGGAAGTGTTGAGACTTGGGTAACGGCTCTCCGAGTACCTCTTGCTTTGGGATCTGCACAGTTCAGTTGACTTATCATGATTTATCCAGTTGGACCATTCCTGAGATACAAGAGCTCTTCATGAAAGGACAAGCGGCGACAGAGGTGCTTTCAGGGGATGAAGTGATCATCATTGAGGCCTGGAAGTACAACAGCAGTTGATTTACAGTTGATTGAAATTGATATATATATATATACATATTTTGCTGCATACATATATATATGTATATACACACTGTATATATATATATTATACTGTATATATATATATATAATATTTGTTGAAATATCAATATCAGTTGATATTGATTGGAACAACATGAATAAGACAATCGAGAAGGATCTGCAGAAGGATGCAGATGGCAACCACTCCTGGAAGCCAGTCCAAACGGTGTGACGCTTCCAGTTTGCTCGTCTACCTCGGAGTAGTTCAGTCTCCAGCATATCCGGGAATATCCGAGCTGATTTGAATCTATTCGTGCGATGACAAGGAGTTGGCAACAATAATCACTGCACAAACTGCACAACCCTTGAGGATCTGATTCTGTCTGATCACGTGAACTGGTCGTGACAACATAGTCAGTCTTCACAAGTCAAGAACTTCGCAGTTTCCAAGCCGAGCAAAGAGAGGAAGTTTGATGTTTCTTCCTGACAACTCCACAAAACACAAACGGGGCTCGTAGCTCGCAAGTGATTTTCCACAACATCTTGGATGGCTGCACAGCAGCTGAAGCAGCAGCTGCAGTCTCCGCTTTTGTCTTTCCAGACAAAGTGGACACTGAGGACACTGCATCACTGCGCACTGACACAGGCATACACTGTACTACTATATAGTAATAGAATGTAATGAATATATAGACTGCGATAGGTATCATAGAGGTTGGACATATATATATTGTGCGAACAATGAATCACACATGTTAACACCGTTCTTTCTCTGCCTCTTGAAACACATCGTCCGATGCCATCATGCTCCCAGCTTCATACCTTCATGTCGTGGGTTGAAAGCAAAGACCAATCTTGTTCCAAAACTACGGAAAATGCTGCGGTCCAAGGACAAACACATACACACACACACCCACACACACACATACACAAACACCCCAGCACAATCCAATCCTTCAGCTTCAGTTAGTGGACATGGGCCTAACCATTCAAATGCAACGGAAGATTCCACTGAAGCAAGTGCATCTTTGGGCCTTTTGTTCCCGGTCTGAGCAACCATGCGTGCTTGTCCTTGTCATGTCGCTTGAGACCGATGAAACTGCCGAGTTACTTGAGCGACCATTATCCACCAGACATAGCAACTTCTTTTGCAAGACAGGCCCGTGAAGATCAGTGGAGCAGCTAAACCGATCTTCATTTGAGATGGCGAAACTCGATTTTTGTTTCGACGTTTCCTTCGGCCTTCGGTATCTTGAGAAAACCTGCCCCTGTCAGGTCTTCTTCTCTTGGCCTTAGCTTCGGCCTCAGCAGCCTACGTTTTGCAGACCCCGCAGTTTGATTCCCTCGATCCAGCTTTCACTGCTGGCATCTTGCGGTTTGAGCAATTGGTTGGGCGCCAGATGCCAAAACATCTTAGAGATCTAGCAGGAAAACAAGCACACTTGCGACAATTAAGAGAAGCTCGAAGCAGCAGTTGAACTTTGTGAGTGTGTTCTTTTTGGCAAATTAGTATAAGTCTCGCTCTCTCTCTATATATATATATAATTATATGTGAATCTATAGTAGTATTGGGGTAGTTGGATTGTCATGTTAGATTCAGCTGCATCACAGGATTGGGGCCCTGCTGGCCCTGCCGAGGGTTCATTTCTGAAGAACAGCCATTTAGAGTTTCATATGCATATGATTATAAATAAGTTGGATCCCAAATGAATAGCATTTTGTTGACTTGAATTGAAGGGGTAATGTAGGAAACCACATGCGAAAAGCAAAACACAATTTGAAGACAGAGTTTGCAACATGCGAGTTTCAGAACACATGAAAGGCAACATTCAGATTGACCGCAACAGGCTGATTTCTTGCACGTTTCTCCCGAAACGGCATTATCAAGGAATCCAGGCTAAGGTTTGAGATGTGTTGGAGCATGTTTTTTTTTTCCCCGAATGCGTAGCAAGGGTTCCCGTTTCACTCTGGGGGTCTGGGGGTTGAGGGTGTGTTCGCTCGACGTTGCGTTTATGTTCGCAACCGTCCGCAACCGTTCGCAACCGTTCGCAACCGTCCGCGCAACCCCCGTATGGCCGTGCCTATGGTAAGTTCTGCAAAAGGGGTCACTTTTGGGGGTTTCACATGTGGCGTTGCTTCGTTTCGCGTGGCAGGCGTGGCACTTCGTGACATTCAAGACGTGTTTGTAACGTGTCGAAAGTCGTTTTGTGTGGCAAGCGCAATACTTTTGCGACGTTTTCAGAAGATGCGTTGCAGCTTCCGTGGCAGGCGCAACACTTTGGACGTGTCCATCTTCATTTTGCGTGGCAGACGCAGCACTTTAGACATGTCGCGTTGCGTTTTTTTTGGCGAATCGCATTGTTAGGGCTGTGTCAAGTGGCAACAAGGTGCAAACAAATTCCTAGGCGTGGCAGTTTTTGAGATGTGATGAAAATTGACGGAAGCCTCGCACGAAACATCGATTTTGAGGTTGCAAATTTTCAGGTTCTAAGGAAAACTCGTAGGAAAACATCGGTTTTGAAGCTACAAAGTGTCAAAATTGGAGGAAGTCTCGTACGAAATGCTCGGTTTGATGCTCCCACGTGTCTGGTCTCGAGTCTCTGGTTTTCCTGTGGCCTCGCCGTGCCTATGTGGGGAAGCTGCAAAACCTCTCCTTTTCGAAGGTTTCCAAGCAGGTTGTCATGTCGTTTTGCGTGGCAGGCGCGGCACTTTGTGACATTCCAACCTGTTTGATAATGTGTCGAAAGTAGTTTTGTGTGGCAGGCGCAATACTTTTGGGTCGTTTTCACAAGATGAGTTGCAGTTTACGTGGCAGGCGCAGCATTTTGGAGATTTCTGTCGTCATTTTGCGTGGCAGGCGCAGCACTTCAGACGCCACACTCTACACTCCACACTCCCCACTTTACACTCCACACTTTGCACTCCACACTACACTCCACACTTTACACTCCACACTCCACACTTTACATTCCACACTTTACACTCCACACTTTACACTTTAGACTCCGCACTTTACACTCCGCACTCCACACTTTACACTTTACACTCCACACTCTACACTCCACACTCTACACACGACACTCCCCACTTTACGCTTTGCACTCCACACTTTACAGTCACAACACTCCACACTTTACACTTTACACTCCACACTTTACACTTTACACCCCACGCTTTACACTGTACGCTCCACACTCCACACTTTACACTTCACACTCCCCACTCCATACTCTAAACTTTACACTCCACACTTTACACTCCACACTTTACAGTCCACACTCCACACTACACTCCACACTCCTTACTTTACACTCCACACTCCAGACTCTACACTTTCCACTCCACACTCCACACTACGCTTTACACTCCACACTCCACACTCTACACTTTACACTCCACACTCCACACTTTACACTTCACACTTTACACTGTACGCTCCACACTCCACACTTTACACTTCACACTCCCCATTCCATACTCTACAATTTACACTCCAAACTTTACACTCCACACTTTACATTCCACACTCCACACTCTACACTCCAAACTCTACACCCCACGCTTTACAATTTACACTCCGCACTCTACACTCCACACTCTACACACTCTACACTTTACTCTCCACACTTCACACTCGGCACTCCACACTTCACACTCCGCACTCCACACTACACTTTACCCACTGCACACTCGACACTCCACACTTTACACTCCACACTCCTTACTTTACACCCCCCACTCCACACTCCTCGCTCCACACGCCGCACCCCACCACACTCTGCGCTTTACACACTCCACACTCCTCACTTTACACTCCACACTTTACACTCCACACTCCTTACTTTACACTCCACACTCCACACTCCAGACTCTACACTTTCCACTCCACACTCCGCACTCCACACTCTACGCTTTACACTCCACACTCCACACTCTACACTTTACACTCTACACTCTACACTTTACACTCCACACTTTACATTCCACACTCAACACTCTACACTCCACACTCTACACCCCATGCTTTACAGTTTGCACTCCACACTCCACACTCTACACTTTACGCACTCCACACTCCACACTTTATACTCCACACTCCTTACTTTACACTCCACACTCCACACACCACACTCTACATTTTCCACTCCACCCTCCACACTCTACACTTTACACTCCACACTCTACACTTTACACTCTACACTTTACACTCTACACTTTACACTATACACTCCACACTTGACACTTTACACTTTACACTCCTCACTCCACATTTTACACTCCACACTCCACACTTTACACTCCACACTCTACACTTTACACTCTACACTTTACATTCTACACTTTACACTCTACACTCCACACTTTACACTTTACACTGTGCACTCCTCACTCCACACTTTACACTCCACACTCTATACTCCACACTTTACAGTCCACACTCTACACTTTACACTTCACCCTCTTCCGCATTCCACAGTCTACAGTGCACTGGTACGGTAACAGGGGAAGAATGTAGACTGTTCAAATAACTTGTTTCACAATAGTGTTCTGCGTGACTGCAATAGGGTTCGTGGGCTGCATGTTGTTTTTAAATTACGCACATGTCTGGCAAACCTGAGAGCCCACACTTCTCCATCTCAGGTAGCGCGTGCTGTGAATGTTCATCGAACAAAGATCGGCCCACAAGAACCCTACAAGATCGCACAGTGTTTCGGAGCAGTGTATGACATGGCAAATTACATTGGCTGGGCAGGCTTGAATATCGATGCAATGAGCATCAACGGCACTTGCCCTGACACTGAAGATGACACCACCTGTTCTGCCAACGCAGTTGGATTTGTATTTAACCTCATCTGGGTTCTCAACAATGCGGCACAGATTCCGGTCTGGTGCGTGGCCGATTTCGAGGAGAACAACACGGCTTCCAAGTCAATCAGCTGCCTGGTAAGTATGTCACTGTTCTTGGCATCCGCTCTGCAAATCACTGCCGATGGACTTGCCGTGAAAACCGACTGTGAATACCTGCGTCTTGACAGCACTCAGTCTTGACAGCACTCATGCTTTTGCCGAAAGGTGATTCTTCTCAGGTCTGGTAATAGCCATGAAGATTCTCTGGTGTTGTAAGACACGCTGACTCTGGCGTTTTGTCATTTCATCAGAATCCAACGGTCAGGAGAAGCAAAGATTTCCTGGAATTCGATTCCTTCCAGGAGTATTTGGAGGATCGCATCGAGCAGTTGAAGCCGCGAAAACTGGACTCAGGTGACTCAGGCCCAGGAAAAAACCCAGGTGAACCAGAAAAAAATGGACCCAGAGATGCCAACATCTCAACTCTTCCAAGTCTTCCAGCTCTTGGCACTCGTCGCCTGGAAGCTGACCTCGATGTCTTCGTGGGAGATGGAAATGATCTCTTCGAAGGAGATAGAAATCGAGCTTTGGCCCGGGGAGTTTGTTCCATGATCATCATGCAGCTGGCGAATGACCTGCCATACACTGGGGTCGACATTTGGGGAGCAGTTCTGGATTGTGGTTCGAGGTTTGGTCGGAACGTTGCAGATTATGATGAGGATTGTGC